ATAAGATCCCGATATACCCCATATTCTATCTACTTAAGGGGGACTATAAGCCCTAAAAGCCCTAAACCCTAAACCCTAAATAGTAGTTTCCATTTTCTTTTCCATTATCCCAATAAAACCCCCTATATTCCCTATATCTACTTCAGGGGGGACTATACCCCAATATAGACCCCAGAATACCCATAATCCTTATTATGGGGACCCCCAAAAAAGTACCCCTAATTTTGGGAAACTACCCTATAGACCCTAAACTCTAAACTCTAAACCCTAAACCCTAAACCCTAAACTAAACTCCCAATCCCTCCAGCAGCTCCGGCCTCCGGAGGATTCACCCGCTTCTCATCTGGATTTGGGAACCATCCGCCGAAGCCTGGCAAGGCTAGTCCCTTTCATATCCTTATAATATTGTAGTCCCTATAATATCCTCATAATATTGTAGTCCCTATAATAGTAAGTCAAACAACCCATACGAATGTCATTGTTCAATCAAAACACCGATGACCTTTTCTTCTGTGACCTGCGCATGGGGCGGCTGGATACTTCTTCATCTGTCTGAACTCCCACGGATTGAGTATACTTCGGAAGAAGGATTTGGTCATTTACCAAAGCAGGGTGACCCCAATATAGACCTAAACAATCCTATAACCCAAATAATAAGGACACCCTAAAAGGGAGGTACCCTAGTTTTGGGAGAACTCATTTTCCCTCAACCCTACACCCTGAACCCTGACCCTGAATCCCAAACAGTAGTTTCCATTTTCTTTTCAATTTTCCCAATAGAACCCCAACATTATCCCAATACAACCCCAACATAACCCCAATATAACCCCAATATAACCCCAATTTAACCCCAATATAACCCCAAACCCAATAAAGGGTTTACTGTGTAGGGGCCCTGCCTTCTGTACGCAGCACGCGCCGCCGCGGAAGGGCGTCCTGCAGGAGCGTCTCGCTGTGGAAGAAGGTGCTGGCCTGAGGAACCATACTCACTGGGGGTTAATAGGGGTTTAGGGTTTAGGGTTATATAGGGCTTATAGGGGTATCTAGGAATTATAGGGTTATATGGGGATATATATATATATATACATATAGAGGGTTATATTAGGTTATATGGGGTACATAGGGTCTAGGGTTTGGGGTATATACTGGGGTTTAGTAAGGAATAGCGGAATATAATACATAGGGGTTTATAGGGGTTTGTAGCAGTTATAATCCTTATTCCCTACTGACTACCAATAAGCAGAGAGGTTTTACAGAGGGTAGGTGCGCTTTGGGTGGGTTGTGCTGTGGTGTTTAGGCTTTGGGGTCTAGGGTTGGGGTGTAGCGTTTGGGGCCTGTGGGGCTGGGGGCTCTGGCTTAAGATTTGGAGTGTGCGGCTTGGAATTTAGTGGTCTGGGTGTGGGTTGAGGGCTGTGGGTTGACAGTTCAGGGTCGAGTGTGTAGGTTTAGGATTTAGGATTAGGTTGAGGGCATGTAGAAGAAACCCTGCGCAACAGAATCTTAAAGGACCGTTGTGAGCTGGAGTAGTTGTTCCAATCGTTGTTGCATATTGTGACGTACTTAAACAGAGTTCCGATTTGTCGGAACATGGGCGGGCCGTGGAAATTACCGTTTGCAGATTAAGATCATGTTCATCTGCTTCGCGTGCAGATAAGAAACAAATTGAATGACTCTCTTCTTACTAGGGGTTAATAGTATACGGGATTATTTTCCTTGATTGCCTTCGAACCACCAGTAAGTTCTTTGTATCATGAATACGTGTCTTGAGCCTTGGTGACACACTGTAGATAAAGTATCCAAAAAGTGATCTCACAACAGTCTCTTCTCATGCAAATATGGCATGTCTCACATGCTCGCAGGCAAATGGATATGTGTGCTTTTACGGTAGTTTCCTCAAATGGGAGGCCCCCTACTACACCCCAAAGTACTGTAATCCTTATGATGGGGATCCCCAGAAGGTGCCCCAAATTAGGGAACCCCCCATAACATATGAAATAAGGGGACTTCACAAAGGGACCTTGTAGTGATTGTGCGAAAGGGGTCATTTCCTGGAATATCAGACGCACTTTAGGCAGGTGTTTGAAACACCCTAAACCCTAAACCCTAAACCCTGAAACTATGGGTCATCTGTAGAGTTCCTATAGAGTATGCCGCTGCAAACCCTCATCCCTTAGCCGAGCCGTAATTTTCATCAACTATTGGATTGCGGGTACGACCTCAAGCTCTCTTACGTACACACTTGCTTGGATTCAGGGTTTAGGGTTCAGTTTATACTTAACAGGGTCCCTAAACCCTAAACCCTAAGGCGGATGTGTAGGTTTTAACTTTTGTCTAGGTGGTTCTGTTAAGTACCCGAGTTCAAGCTGTATCTGTAACTAGGGTTTAGGGTTTAGGGTTTAGGGTTTCCCATTTATCACCCGAGAGCCCAACCAACATCCAACGACAAGACCAAACCCTAAACCCTGAACCCTATCTGACCCCCCATAACTTCTATAACTCCTTTAAAGGGACCCCAAAGTTTCCTACGCAATCCCAGGCGCTCAGGACCTTCTCACAAAGGGGGTCACATCCTCCGTGATCTTAGGGATAGAAAGGGCTGCTACAGGAGACCAATGACAAAGGCAGATGTAGAAAAATACTTGCCAATACCATTTTGATGTCTATTTTGGAGTACCCTATACCATATTAACGAAAGGAATCTAGAACCGTAATAACGGTCATGTATTCGAGTCCTAATATGCTGCAGTTTTTCGACACTTCGTTTGAAGGCCCGAATGAACGGTAGTCTAGACTCCTAATATCCCCCCTAAATAAGCCCTAGAATACTGCCCCTATATAATCCCCTATATAGATATATACCCCTAAACCCTAAGGCCCTAAACCCTAAATAAGAGCAGTTATACTTTAGAACACCCCTTTTAGGAGTTTAGACTATAGCCCAGATGTTGATCTTGAAGCGAGGGACACTGATAAGATTACCACCATCCCCTGTAAGTCACATCCACCGTGGTCACTACTATCAATGGATGGGGTCCCAACTCCCTGTGGTTTCAGCACCATACGAACATATATCTAAGTCTAAGAAACATAGTCTAAATCCTATAAACTCTCCCTGAACCATAAACCCTAAACCCCATGAAAATCCTGAACCCTAAACCCTACAACCTTACACCCTAAAGCAACAACAATCCCCCATTAACCCTGAGCCCTTCACCTGCCTTGTGGCGTAGAGGTACCGCCAGGGCACCAGGTACCAGGTGGGCCACCTGTCAAGGTACTTTTCTGAGACTAACACATACAAAAATTAAGGCTTAGAGTTTGGGAAGTGGCTATCATAGGGCTGAGCGTTTAGGGTGTACTAATTATCATGATAACAAGAATACTAGTAATAGAACCATACTATCATAACAATACCAATGAAATCACAGTAGTAAGAATATTTGCTGCCAATCCTCACACATGCATAGCTATATGTCCTCCGCAAAGTCTCCTAAGAGAACGAAACGACCAAATTTGGGAAGCTCTGCTCCTAAACCCTAAACCCTAAACCCCAACCCCAGATCTTTGGTGGGAGCCACCGACCAAGCGTGCGCGCCTCACAGTGCTGGAGGCATGGCATCAGGACATTGGCCAACTCCGGCTTGTCAGGGTGTAGCAAGTATAGGGTTTAGGGTTTATAGGACTTATAGGGTTTACATGGTTTATAGGGGTTATAGAGGTTGTAGGGTTTATAGGGTTCATAGGGTTTAGTGTAGGCGTAAGTGAATACATTAGTATATGGGGATTGTATAAGGATATGGGGATTGTGTTCCTTTATTCCCTGCTAAGCACAAGTAAGTACAGCATACGCAGTGATAGAGATACGGGCCTCTGAAGGGATATGGAGGTCCTTTCTAGGGATTTAATAAGGACTATAATGAGCTCCCAAATGTTTTTGCTGCTGCCATTGTCCTGGCGACTTGAGTTTTGCTCTTGCTCTTCTTAGAAACTGGCGCTGGCACAGGTCAGAGGCCTTGAGCCATGACTTTGAGTAATAATAATAGTAATACGGTGGATACTAAAAATCCTGCATGACCTTAAGTACATTATCCTTGGGAATAATGGGACTATTGTATATTAAGGTCATGCAGGATTTTTAGTATCAACAGTAGTAATAAAAATACTAATATTAATAGTAATAGTAATAGTAATAGTAATATAATAGTAATAGTAATA